ATATCTTCTCTTAGACCGCTGTACATTTCATTCAGTATCAAGTAAATTACGCACATTCCAGCACCCAAAATTGTGCACACAGTAGCATGATGACAACCGGCCCAAGCTGCGGATCCCTGGGACATGTGCCGGGACAGACCATTTCACATCTGGTTTCAGAGCCTTTATTGCCATTGATTTGATAGTATTAAATATCTTCATTGTAATGCAAGTTAACAACGACCAGCAATAATTCTACATTAAAATGACAATTGCAGAAAAGATCGCCAGATATTAAGCAATACCTGTCCATGACGCCTTTACAGTGGTAAAAAGAAGTGTACAGAAGCATATTCATATATATATATATATATATATATATATATATATATATATATATATATGCATGTTTCATTAAAAACCGAAATATAAAACATTTGGACAGTTCTTATACACCCTTTGTCCAGAAAAAGAAAGCTGTTGTTAGAACACAAGAAAAAATTAAATGTTTACAAGGGAAGGCTAACGGGATCTGATATGCAAGGACTCTAGAACCTTAAGGTCAAATGTGGAGTGGGACCTAGATAAAAACAAAAAACGGTCCACAGCATTTATTGTAAAAAAAATACAATTATGGCACAAAGCCGAAAAAGGGGGGAGGGGGGTTGAGGATGTTTTTCACTAACTTATACCTAGCTAATCCGATTCACGACCCATTCACTCAATACAATTTGACCATTCACCACAAAAACTCGTCCATCACCAATCCATCCTTCATACACCATAATACCGCATCCTTTCAAGGGGGACCTACAAAACGTGCCTGATGCCATAAAAACTTAATGATGATTAATAATTATATTTAAAATTCTATGATGAAGAATAAGCCGGGAGGGAATGAACCCCAAAACAAACTAAACATAGACACAAAGTGAACTAAACATAACTGATGTTAGTAGGGCCCGTTCAACCCTCAAAATGAGAGGCCGCTGTATTCTGCCCATTCGACAAAATCAAGAAGCTCTCTCGCTAAGGGAGTGGGAAAAGTGAAAATATAAACGGACATGGGAAATAAAAAGCTGACCCAGTCGAGATCAAAAAAAAGGACCAAACCAAACTGGGGAGGTTGGGAGTCTCAACTTGGATCATAACCAAAGAGGCTGCCGGGAACAGGCCAGGAACAACATTTACTCACATTAACTAGGTACACAAAGCTAGTCTAACCTAACCAAGGGAATGGCTCCAAAGGAAACCACCCCGATGTTGACCTAAAAGAGAAAATCAAGGCTAGCTCCGTTCAAACGAACCAAGCTCGCCTCAGTCACCCACATTTCGTAAAGACTGTCGAATGCAAGCGTTTTCTATCAGTTCTAATCATCTTGAGCTAATGCTCAAAGAATCGGATTAGTTCCTGATGAGAAAGACGGTTACCACGCAAGACTTCCTCCTGTGCGTCGTTCAAATCACCATTCGGTCCGTGGCCAGCAGCGTCAGAAACACCATTCGTTTCACCCCGGAATACGAAGGCGACACATTGTCACACGCGTATGCACGATCAATGAGCACGAGCTTTTCGGGAGCGAGACGAGCCGTCAATTCGCCAACATGGTCCCATAAGGGGCAGACCCGGGGGCAATGGTAGAAGGCGTGCGAAGCGGTTTCTTCTAAACCAATGCCACACCGTTCACAGTCTGGCAAATCCACCAAGCCCCATATGATGACCTTGTCATTGAGAGGTAGCCGATTCCGAGCCAATCTCCAGGTAAGCGGAAACTCAGGGTTACTGAGATAATCCGCCGCTGGCGCCCAAGACCAGAAAGAGCGAAACTCCTCCTCCGACAAGTCGAGCTGCTCATGTAGAGAATCCTTCGCGACCCTCTCCACTAGAAAACGATAGAAGAACCTCCTAGGCCGTGAAAGGTCACTGGACCGACGAACGGCCAACAAGGCCGACCGACACTCGCGAAGGAAATACAATTGATCCCGGGGTTTACGATGGCACTCAAACCGCGAGATGAGGGGTGGGGGGTGATAATAAGGAAAGGGAACGCGTCCATAACAATCCCCGCCATAATCGAATCTCCTGTCAATGCGCGGCGTAGGAAAGCCAACCTCGAGGTGAGTTTGTGGCTCACTAAGTGTGGCATTCCCAGCCCCCCATGACACGGACATTCTGCAGACTCGTCTGTCGACCCGATTCCCTCGTCCCCTCCATAATAGAGGAAGTACGGACAATCGATAAAGGACAAGAGGGAAAACGTGGCACACGCCTCCGCCCTGCCCTTCACGGGCCACCTCCGTCGATGCCAAGTCTGACCGGCCGCGTCGACCTTTGTTCGTAATTCAGACCAATTTTTCTCCAGCTGGAGGTCGGGTCCAAACCACACTCCAAGAATGCGGACAGAATGCGGACAGAACCGTCCGTTCAACTAAAGGGCCCCGGAAGATCGATTCCCTTCCAGGCACATAACCGCAAGCCGGACGACTTGTCGCGGGTAATCTTGGCCCCTGTCACCTTTTCGTACCGATCAAGCGCCTTCAGTACTGCCTCAATGTCGCTGCGGGATGTCATCGGCGTACGCAGAAACCCTGGCTCGAGCCCCTCCAGGAACGGCGATTCCGTGTAGGGCCGGACTGCACGATCTGTCCCTCAAAAAAAAAAGAAAAAAAATGAAAAAGACCTACTCACATACTGGTCGGAAATCTGCCTCAGTCAGGACCCCGACGGATGGTCCTAGGCTCCCCACACCTAGTTCCGACGTCATTCGTCCTTCCAGGACAATGCCGCCGACGTCCATGGGGTAGGTTATTTTAACCGTCCTATATAAGGAGGAATGGAGCATGACAGGGACAAAATTGTTTTAATTTTCTTAAATAAAGAGTGTTTACCTCGAACATCCTTATGTTCGGAAAGGCCTCTTTACTTCATATAAATGGGTCCATACTCTCAGGTAGGACCCAGTCTCTCCCACAAATGTGATGCCCCCAGAGGCATCGGGGAAATTGCGGGGGTCCTCTATGGACTTGCCGTCCACAGTAGTCTTTTTTTATGAACACCCCCAAAAAGCCCCTTTTGTCTTGGTAGCCTCTAATATAAATCTTTCTTCTCTACCCTACAAATTGCCTCGGGGCCAGAAAAGTATTTCTCCTTCTTCGCCTTTTTCTGCTTCGCTTGGTAAGATGGGGAAGAAGTAGACGCATGAGGGGGTGTAGAATCTGAAGCAAGGGAAGAAGTGGAGAGAGATGGGGATGTAGCACGGGCAGGGGAGGTGGGGAGGCTCCTTACTTTTGGCACTGAGATAGTTTCCTTAGGGGATGCGGGGAGAGAACTGGGCCTGTTTTTTTCCGTAAATTTGTCCATCCTACTTCTCGAGCCGTGTCCCTCTTTGTGTGCATCATCCTCTTCCTCCTCCCTACTCCTCTTTAAGGATGAGGCACGAGGTGGAGGCATTTTCTCTCCATCTCCACTTCTGCATTTTCTTGCTGTTGTTGCTGTTTCAGGGGTTGTTTTTTCCCCTTTTGCTTCTCCTGCGATTGCTTCCCGGGGCTTCGCTGAACCTCCTTGGGTTTCTGCACCTCCTTTTTTTCTGTACCTGCGGTGACCGCTGCTACTCAGGAGACTGCCGTTTTGGGGGGGTGGGCACGATCTTCCTTCCCTTCCCCAACGTCCACTCCTCTTCAGACGCCTTCTCCGCAGTTGTAGGCGTAACTGTTGCTGCCTCATCTGTTGCTACTGTTGTGGTCGTTGTTGTGGTTGCTGTCGTTGTCTCTGTTGTTAGGTGGGGTGGAGGCTTCGAAGTCTTACCTGGGCACACTTTGGACATGTGCCCAGACACTCCGCAACTCCAACAATATGGCTTACGTCTCTCCACCACCACCAGCATCCGCTTGTCTCGGCATAACAAAATGTTCGGAACTTCACCAAACGCTTGTCTCGTTAATGTGACGAATAAAACGATATCGCACAGTGGATGAAGGCGTTGGTTAGATTCAGTGACAGTGTAGACCCGTCTTTTTCCTACCTATCACCCCTAGCAACAGAACAGTCTATATCTTACGCCTAAAGTGAATTATATTCACTACCTATTAAGTAAGATCAATGTGCGAACGACCTTAAAAACATTACAGTCAAAGGTAGATCACTCCTTAAGAACTCCTTCTAAAAAGACACTTAATATTAACAATTTTAATATCAACACAAATCTAAAACGGACTGCAAACGAACGAACGATTACAAAGAGAGACATTCTGAAATCTAAAACATCATACACATTTTGCCAACATAACATATACCAATTATCCTGCTTGTATATTGTTTTGAATTGTATATAAATGTTATATTAGTTTCTAATTGAATATGTCTTGTTCTTAATCGTATTTTAAATTTCGTTTATTTATTTGTTTGTGGATGCAGAAAGTCACGCAACCTACACAAATTCCTTCTGATTCTTTCAAGCATAATTAATAAATTCTGCACGTCCCCAACAACAGGACCCAAAGAGTTCAATACCCGGTTAAGGCAGTGGAGAACTTAGGAAATTAGCAGGAGATAACTGATCACTGACATCCATCAAACATGGCACGTGGAACTAGAACAGTCTACCCCAGTGAGCGTAATAAAGGGTTCAGTTCGAAATTCCAACCACCTGAAGAAGGCCGGAGCATACAACGGCCGAAACGTTGTGATAAATATGGCGACAAAGATGAGGACAATAGTCCGAATAATGTAAATAATGTACATAATACCTCATCTCAGAAATATAGACAGTATCTTCCATTGTTTCCCTGCTGACTCCAATTAATTTCCGACTCTTCACGTCGGAAGTCAGCAGGGAAATTATTCTCGCAGAAGAGGTTACATCAGTTAAATGCAAGACGGGGATCGAAACCGGCGACATCGTTTTATTCGTCACATATTGGTCGTACTTCTCCTTCAATTGGCTATAGTATGTTGCGGGGCCGAGTAGGATGTCGCCCCCGCAACAAGTGGTGACTTCCCGACGTGAGACAGCTAAGCGATGATGGAGTTGGCTAAAAGTGATTCTTTGGAAATGACGGCTGCGATCATACCTCTGCCTGCATACCACCATAATGCCAAGAATTGGTTCTTGCAGGTGGAATCCATCTTTTCAATGCTACGCATTACTTCACAGCGAGCCAGATTCGCGAATGTAATGCAGAAACTCCCATCCGATATGATGGACGAAATTTCTGACGTCCTCTCCGATTTGCGCGAGCATGAACCGTACGATCACTTAAAGGAAGCAATCCTCAAGCGAACCGGACGTTCCGAGGAGGATATGATTCAGGAGATACTGCGGAACGTCACTAGAGGCGACAAAACGCCATCCCAGCTTCTCAGATATATGAGGAACCAGCTGGGAAAGCACAACGTATCAGAGAAGGTTCTTCGAGGTTTATGGCTGGAGCATTTGCCTAAATCTGTCGCTCAAATCATCGCACCAATGACGAGAGCCACGCCTCTGGACGATTTGGCGGAATCTGCTGATCTAGTTTTCGCACAGTTCGACCACAGCGTTAACGCTGTTCACGCCCCCGACATAGCGAAGCACGAACGCTACGAGCCTAGTAAAACGGAACGGGCGTTGGCCGACCTTCAACGGCAAATTCGGGAGCTCCAGATCTCCCTGCGCCCGCGGACGAGGACATCGACCCCATCTCGACGGAGACGAACCCCCAGCCGAGAACGGCGAAAGCGACCAGGGTGTTTGTTGGTTTCATCGCACATTCGGCGATGAGGCCAGGAATTGTAAACCTCCCCTGTACACCCCGTCGGCCCGGGGAAACGAATAAACCGGAGAGTCGCGACGACTAACTCTTCCGGTGCCAACACGCAATGTCGTCTATTTTACGTTTGGGATCGACGGAACAAGTTGAAATTCCTGGTGGACACAGGTGCGGCCATCAGCGTGGTACCCCTTCAGAACGACCACACCGCTAAGCCCACCCTGATCAAACTACGAGCAGCGAATGGTTCCGCGATAGACACGTTCGGAGAAAGGACCCATACTCTGAATATCGGCATGCGACGCGATTTCACTGGACATTTACCGTGGCCAACGTGAAGGTACCCATCCTCTGCGCGGATTTCCTGGCGCATTACGCACTGGCGGTCCATATGAACCCTAGGACTCTGTCCGATACGACGACGAATCTCCGTGTCTTAGGGTACCCCTACACGTCAAGGCTCCACAGGAATCAGCGTCGCAACATGCCATGGTCGCGAGTACTTAGATCTCCTGACGCAGTTCACGGATATAACGCTGCCACTCCAAGTAACGGCTTCAGGTGACCATCAGACTCATCACCACATCAGAACCCGAGGTCCTCCCGCACACCCATCCGCGACGACTCGCTCCGCACAAACTGGCGTACGCCAAGGAGCAATTCGACAAAATGCTCAGTGATGGCATCATTCGTCCTTCCGATAGCCCTTATGCCTCGCCACTACACTTAGTGCCTAAACCTGGTGGTGAAGAATTTCGGATATGCGTCGACTACCGGAAATTAAATGCATCGACCGTACCAGACCGATATCCTGTCCCTCATATCCATGATTTTGCATCCGGATTGATGGGGGCTCGCATCTTCTCGAAAATCGACCTGACAAAGGCATACCACCAGATCCCCGTCGCTGCGGAAGACGTCCCAAAAACGGCAGTCACAACACCGTTTGGCCTATACGAATTTCTAAAAATGCCGTTCGGTCTACGTAACGCTGCCCAGACCTTCCAACGGCTCATAGACGAAGTCCTGCGCGGACTTCCGCATGTATACGCCTATATCGACGACATCTTGGTGGCCAGTACAGACGCCGATTCTCACAGACAACACCTGCGAGAAGTCTTCCAGCGACTCTCGCACTACGGCCTGAAGTTGAACCTGGACAAGTGCGTTTTCGGGGCGCCCAGCGTTGACTTTCTCGGGCACCGCACCGACGCAAACGGCATAGCACCTCTGCCAGACAAGATCAGCTCGATCCGGGATTTTCCTACACCGACGTCCATGTAGCAATTGCGACGTTTCCTCGGTATGCTCAATTTTTATCGTCGGTTCATACCAAATTGCGCTACCATCCTCCAGCCACTGACGAACCTGCTGCAGAGAACAAACAAGGACATCTCTTTGGAGGGAGATGCTCTGCACGCATTCCATACAGCAAAGGCTGCATTGGCAAATTATACCAGGCTCTCGCATATCAACGACGATCCAGAGACGCGACTCTTCCTGACAACCGACGCATCGGACGCTGGTGTGGGCGCGGTGGTTGAGCAAGAGTTCAACTCACAACGCGAACCCATCGCATTCTTTTCAGCCAAGCTTTCGCCAGCCCAGAGAAAATATAGCACCTTCTCCCGAGAGCTGGCCGTCAGGCATTTCAGGCATTTACTGGAAGGTCGAGATTTTACCATCTATACCGACCATAAACCGTTGACAACTGCGATGAGTAACAACTTTGACAAGTATACAGCTCGCGAGATCCGGCATCTCGACTACCTGTCACAGTTCTCGACCGATATTCGTCACATAAAGGGGAAGGACAACGCCGTCGCAGACACATTATCGCGAGCGGAAATTCAATCTCTTCAGACCGGCGTCTTGGGTCAAGATTCCATAGCCGCTGAACAAAAATCCGACCCCACGCTGCAAGACGTCCTTTCGAATACTTCTTTAAAAAGCTTCGGGAGTTCCCATCCTTCAGCGACGACACCCTGTACTGTGACACCAGCCTAGCAAGCCCTAGGCCCTACATCCCACCGACACTTCGGAGACAGGTATTCCAACATTTCCACGGGCTGTCTCATCCGAGTAAGAGAGCTACGGTCAAATTCCCCGATTCCCCAAAGTCGACCGATTCGTTTGGCCCAATATGAATGCGGACATTCGAGAATGGGTTTCCACGTGCATGGAGTGCCAGAAGTGTAAGGTCCACCGACACACTAAATCCCCGTCGGCACCTTCAGCAGTCCCGATGCACGGTTCTCACACATACATGTCGACTTAGTGGGACCGCTTCCGATGTGTCAGGATTACCAGTATCTTTTGACGGTTGTGGATCGTTTTTCGCGGTGGCCGACCGCCATACCTATAAAAGACACTTCTGCTAACACCGTCTCTAGGACCATCCTGAAAGAGTGGATTGGAACTTTCGGCACGCCCCAAGTCATCACGACCGACAGGGGTCACAGTTCCAGTCGTCCCTTTTTCTGGGTTTACAATCTACTTGGCGCCAAGCACATAAAGACTACCGCTTATCATCCGTGCGCCAACGGCTTAGTTGAGAGGTTTCATCGGTCCCTTAAAACCTCCCTGGCCACTAGACCTGACACTATCAATTGGGTGGACGACCTACCTTTAATTCTCCTAGCATTGAGGAACACCGTAAAGGAGGACTTAGGTTGTTCACCCGCCGAACTGGTTTTCGGTACACCTCTTGCGCTACCCGGCGAATATTTCGACGACTCCCTTCAGACGTTTTCAAAACCAACATCTCCTTTCGTCGAGGAACTCCGCCACAAAATGGCCCGGCTTAAATATGCAACTCCGCGACAGCAACCGGTGAATTCGTACATCCCTCAACACTTGAGAGATTGCAAATTCGTTTTCGTACGGAACGACGCCGTGAGACGACCACTCACGCCGGCATACCAAGGTCCTTTTCAGGTTCTTCGACGCACCGACAAGCACCTTACGATCAAGCGCGCCAACTCGACCGACACCATCGCAATCGATCGGACCAAGCCTGCTTTTCTGGAGAAGCGACAGTATGACGCAAACCCGGCTCTGCGGCCCCCTAATGCTATTCCAGCGCACCCAACAGACGCAGCAGACGCAGCACCGCAGACATCAAACGACACCCCAGCGACTCCTGTGCGGCAGACACGATCCGGTAGGAGGGTCTCTTTCCTAAAGACCTTCGTAAATATTATTATTATTAATTGATATGATCAATTTTCTTTCGGGGAAGGGCCTTGTCGCGGTCGCCGATTATCCGCTCCTCATAAAACCGACCTTGACCTTCACAACTCCCGATCTCGCAGATCTAGGTCAAGCAACATGCGAGAAACCGGACGGCTAGTCCAATATCGTTGATGCCAAACCATACCTAGTGTGCATCTGACTATGCAGAGCCATTCCAAACATCAGCAACTATAGACAGTAATTAATTATCTACGGTCTTCTACTCCCTCTAGCCAGGGAGCACTTGAACAACTCTTTCCAAATATTCTTAGCCACTTTTGTCGCCCAAACAAGCTGCTCGACGTAACTGCTTTCGTGTCGTCCCGCAGAGGCATCAGAGCAGTACAGAAGGCGCTTGATCGGTACGAAAAGGTGACAGGGGCCAAGATTAACCGCGACAAGTCGTCCGGCTTGCGGTTAGGCGCCTGGAAGGGGTCGATCTTCCGGGGCCCTTCGGTTGGACGGACGGTCCTGTCCGCATTCTCGGAGTGTGGTTTGGACCCGACCTCCAGCTGGAGAAGAATTGGTCTGAAGTACGAGCAAAGGTCTACGCCGCCGGTCAGACTTGGCGTCGACGGAGGTTGTCCGTGAAGGGCAGGGCGGAGGTGTGTGCTACATACATTTTCCATCTTGTCCTTTATCGATTGTCCGTACTTCCTCTCTGTGACGACCACAGGATACCGCTCGAGCGCGCGCTAACCTCCATTCTGTGGAGGAGACGCGCGAATCAGGTCGACAGAGAAGTCTGTGCACAACGTCCGTGTCATGGGGGCTGGGAATGCCACACTTGCTGAGCCACAAACGTGCCTCGAGGTTGGCTTTCCTACGCCGCGCTTTGACAGGTAGAGATCCGATTATTGAGGGGATTGTGAGGGCCGCCTTCCCTCGCCTTACCATCAGTCCCCAATCTGGCGGGTGGATCGCCGTCGTAAACCCCGGGTTCAATCGGATTTCTTTCGCGAGTGTCGGTCGGCCTTGTTGGCTGTCCCTTGGTCCAGTGACCTTTCTCGGCCTAGGGAAGGTCTTCTATCGTTTGCTAGTGGAGGGGTCGCGAAGGATCCCCTACGTAAGGATCTCGACATGTCGAAGGATGAGTTTCGCTCTCACTGGTCTTGGGCGCCAGCGGCGGATTACCTCAGTAACCCTGAGTTTTCGCTTACCTGGCGACTGGCTCGGAATCGGCTGCCTCTCAACGACATGGCCTTCATATGGGGTTTGGCGGATTTGCCAGACTGTGAACGGTGCGGCCTTGGTCTAGAGGAAACGGCTTCGCACGCCTTCTTCCATTGCCCCCGTGTCCGCCCCTTATGGGACCATGTCGGCGAGCTGACGGCTCGTCTCGCTCCCGAAAAAGCTTGTGCCCATGGATCGCGCATACGCGTGTGACAATGTGTCGCCCCCGTATTCCGGGGTGAAACGGATGGTGTTTCTCATGCTGCTAGCCACGGCCCGAATGGTGATATGGACGACGCGAGAGGAGGAAGTCTTGCGAGGTATCCGTCTTTCTCATCAGGATCTGAATCGATTCTTTGAGCATCAGCTCAAGATGAAGATCAGAACTGATAGAAAACGCTTGCATTCGACAGTCTTCAGCGAAAGGTGGGTGACTGAGGCGAGCTTGGTTCGTGTGAACGGGGCTAGCCTTGATTTTCTGTTTTAGGTCAAGCCTACGTTACATCGGGGTGGCTTCCTGTGGTGCCCTCCCTTGGTTAGGTTAGACAAGCCTTGGTGTACCTAGTTAATGCGAGTAAGTGTTGTTCCCGGCCTGCCCCCGGCCACATCTTTTAGTTATGATCCAGCCTGAGATTCCCAACCTCCCCAGTTTGTTTTTTGATCCCCCACTTTCTATCTCGACTGGGTCAGCTTTATACTTCCCCATGCCCGTATGATTTTTTATCACCTTTCCCACTCCCTTAGCGAGAGAGCTGCTTGATTTTGTTCCAGTGGGCAGAATACAGTGGTCTCCCCTGCATTTTGAGGGTTGGAAGGGCCCTACTAACATCAGTTAACGTTTTATTTTCATTTATGTGAATATTTTAGTTTGTTATTGGGTTCACATCCCACCCCCATTTCATTTTTTTTCATCTTAGAATTTTTTGTACATATGTGTTAGGATCATTATGACATGGGGCGCGTTTTGTAAGTCTCCCTAGAGTGGATGTGGTATTATGGTGCAAGGAGGATTGACTGATGATGGACGAGTTCTTATGGTGAATGAGCAAATTGTAATGTCTGAATGGGTCGTGAATCAAATTAGCTAGGTATAAGATAGTTAGTGAAGACCAGCCTTACCCCTCCCCCTTTTTGGCCTTGTGCCACAATTTTGTAATTTTACAAAATAAATCTTAGCTGTCGGCCCGGAGGCCTGGATCAGAGTGTTTATGGTTTTTGGATTTTAAAGATCGAAGTGTAGTATCTGTTCTTACCAGCTTTTTTGGATTACCTTACTTGGATCACTGTTTTAATTTCCTGGATTTATTTACCAATTTGGACATTGTTTGGCACAAGGCAAGTAGGGAAAAAAAAAAAAAAAACCTCTGCCTGCCAAGAAAAAAAAAAAAAAAAAAAAAAAGAACTTTTGCATTGACTTTGTTTTCGCCAGAGATTTCTTGGACAACGTAAACAGATAAGTTTTTTCCTTTGTTACTTTTTATTTTCAAAAGTCTTTTTATTTTTCGTTTCTCTCTTTATTTTCTTATTCTCTTTTGTTGACTCGGCATTTTGATTCTTTCTCGTTTTTTATACCCCTCCCGGTTTTAATTTGAAGTTTTTCTTTGTTGTTGAAACTATTATTGTCTTTGGTTTGCCCCTTCGTTTTGTAATTTTATTTTATTTTATTTTGTTCTTAAATAATATATTGTCCAAACAAAGAAAAAAAAAAAAAAAAAAAAAACATTTGAAAAGTTTTTTAAACTGTTAGACTGTGGTGGAGTTTCCACCATGGTCGATAATGACAACATAGACATTCCGGCGACACCGGTTCCAGAAACGATGTCGCCTGTCCATCGGCCTGGTCACAAAATAGGCCGCTCCAAAAAGGATGGCACATTTTATGCCAATCAAAGAGAAAAATTCGAGGCAACTTTTAATGGAAATGAGTTCCTCACGATTAAGGAGGCTCTGAACGCAGGGAGCCGCGTACGATTTCTTTGCTGACTTCCGACATTAAAACGCGGAAGTTGGTTGGAGTAAGCAGGGAATGTATGGAGGAGGCCCTGAAGGCTCTGCAGATTAGCCTGAAGGTGCTAGCAAGAAGGACGAATGCCTTATGGGACATCCTTCTACAGAATGAACAGCAAGCCAAGGAGTTGGCCGGCAGAACCTTAAGTACCAAAAACTTAAGACTGCAAACTGAATACATGGGCACCCGCAGGACAAAGTGACCGTTCACGGGGTGCCCGTGGATATCTCCGAGGGACCGGATGGGGGCCTTCTTCACCAAATATGGAGAGGTGAACGAAGTGAAGGCCCTCAGAAGTAGATCCGGAATAGAGACGGAGACATTGAAGTTCAGATAACCCTGAACAGAGCGGCCTTCAAGGACGTCCCCAACACGCTCACCTGCCGAGACAGAAGGATGCTGGTCGTGGTGGAAGGCAGAAAGCCTTGGTGTTGGTCATGTGGTGTGTCGGGCCACATGGCGAAGGAGTGCCCCAGCAAAAAGGGCACACAAGTTGCACCACGACCGACACCGACAACAGCGAAACCAGTACCACCTAGTGAACCGGGGAGGGACTTCCAAATCTGAGGGAGAGGAAGGAGGTAGTCAGAGGTAGGAAGTCTCCGAAAGTTTCGTCTTCACCCCCAAACAGAGATACCTCAGCCTGAAAAGGTTGTACCAATACAAGAGGAAGGGCTGCAGTCAACAGAGGAAAGCCAGCAGCAGCAGCCCAAAAACAACAACAACAACAACAACAGCAGCAGCACCAGCCTAAACAGAGAAAAACAACAGAAACAACTGAAACAGCAAAAGATCAGCAGCAGCAGCAACAACAAGAGAATGAGCAGATGGAGGTGGATAAAATACCTCCACCTCGTGCTTCATCCCTGAAAAGGTGCAGGGAGGAAGACGACGACGAGGAGGAGGAAACCAAACGCACACAAAACAGTCTTTCAGTAGCAGGGCGGAGGAAGGCATGGAGAGATCCAGGTCGCTCTCCGTCCCTGCTTCACCAAGAAGATCGGTGGCTTCGACCAAACCTAGGAGCCACCCTTCCTCCCCGTCCCGTGCTCCAACCCCTCTCCTCCACTTCCGCCTCCCTAGACGCATCGGCCACCCCCCCCAACACATCGACCTCTTCCCTCCCCCCCACCCTTCCAGAGAGAAAAAGAAGAAAAAAAAGATGTTCGCTGGCCCTGAATCCATTTGCAAGGTGGACAGAAACGATTTTAAATGGGGCCTGTCGAAGCAAAGAAAAGCCATTCTCGGGGACTATATAAGATGGACTCCGTGGATGGCAAAAGTATCGAGGACCCCAGAAATTTCCCTCAGGCCCCCGGCGTAATAACCTGTGTGAGGGAGAAGGGGCTTACTTGAAGGTGTGGAACCACATCTTCGAAGCAAAAAGAAGCCTTCCCCGAAATCAGAATCGTGGAAACGGACAATTCCTCATTGAAAAAATTAAAGAACTTTTTGTGCTGGGAGGGTCCCCGTTTTGCTCCATCCCTCATTATATAGGGCAGTAAAACTAACCTATCCCACGGACGTCGGCGGCATTGTCCTGGACGGTCGTATGACGACCGAATTGGGAACCGGAAACCTGGGACAGGCCGTCGGGGTCCTTACCAGCGCAGATTTCCGCCCGGTATGTGAGTAGGCTTTTTGCATGTTTTCTTTTCTTTCTTTTTTGCAGGCCTAAACCATGTCTGTCAAGATAGCGACGCTGAATGTGAATGGCTTGAGGGATCGGGGTAAGGCGGCCCGCCTGCTCCCGGGATCTCCTGTCGTTCGGCGTGGATGTTGCCGCGATCGAAGAGACCCA